GGTTGTGTACACACACTGCCAAGACACATTTAAGTTCAAACACTATGTAAAAGTGAATTTTGCATCCGATGTCCCCTTTAATGGATGTCAGTGGAGGAGAGGCTTCACTACGCTGAATAAACAGGTTTTTATAGGAAACTGTTTATCATTTAATGAATCGACAGCCTATCGGCTAATCTCCAACATGTTTTACACTGAGCAATAAGTCGTGGGAGGGGCCTGTGCAAAGTGACGTCACTTTGCCCAGATTCTGTGAACGGCTTGTTCTGAGAAAGTGCTTACGATTTGTGGGGATTTAAAAAAAGCACTGGGTGGATTTTTATCATTATAGGGTGGTTGTGTACACACACTGCCAAGACACATTTAAGTTCAAACACTATGTAAAAGTGAATTTTGCATCCGATGTCCCCTTTAATGGATGTCAGTGGAGGAGAGGCTTCACTACGCTGAATAAACAGGTTTTTATAGGAAACTGTTTATCATTTAATGAATCGACAGCCTATCGGCTAATCTCCAACATGTTTTACACTGAGCAATAATTTTGCATTGAACTATTTTTAGAGTTTACACCGAAAAAATGCCGTTTTATAAGAGAAGTCACTGACTTTCTGTGACAGGTGGGATACAGCTTAATGCACTTCTCATTTATTCCTATGGTATCCGTAAACGGCGATTGAGTGTCGCACAACTCTGACTGAAATTCAATGACGTCAAGGCTGTAATGTGATTGGTTATTTAGGCACACATGATCCAAGTTGACTGTTACGCTTTCTCCAATAGTAAGTAATACAGACCCTCTCATCTCCGTATAGTAAGACAATCTCTGGCAAAGGATACATCTATGCTGCCTTCAAAAATCGATCAAGGTATCTCATGAGACATGAAGTGAAGCTAACTTTGGATTCGGACTTGCCTTGATGCCTTCCTACCTTGGAATGCGTCCTCCGAAGGCAGAATTTTTCAGTTTTCGGATGCAGCCATTGTTCTGTGCTTGCACACCGTCATGCAGCCGCATAGACTCTGATCAGAGGCGCCGGCACAGGGTTTTATTAATCATTCAATTTTGACTGGGTGGTTAATAACACATTTTTCTGTGGTGTGGCAAACTCAGAACACATATTTAATATTGCTTTACACAGACTTTAAATGTGGATTAGAACTTAGGTTACTGTAAAAAATAACAATGTGGCTAAAAATATCACAATCTTGTGTAAAAGTAGTGCATTTTAGCATAATTTTAACAACAGTATTTGTTACAGAAAAATATATACAGAAATACAGAAAAATATACATTAAGAGGATATATTTAACTGTGACGTACTTCTCACTTTAAAAAACAGTCATTTTGTTTGGTTATTCCTATGTTTATTGGGTTATTCCTATAACAACGCAACAGTTGGGTTAAAATTTTTAATTTCAACGGTTGATCAGTGCAACTGTGACAGAAGAGTGGTAAGTTATATATGTGCGTAATGTTGTTACCCTTTCAAATGGTCTCTCCCATTGCATCTCTTGACGTTTATGGGAAATCTCCTGTTTCCTCTGATACTGAGTGCCATTTTGTCAGAATTTTTCTCCTTCAGCCACAAAGATCATCTCCTCGCTGACTCTGCAAGCAAGAAGCCAAAGAAGAAGAAGAAAGAAGTTCAGCCTGCTACTCAATGCTGTGAGAAAAGACCCCAGCAGCGAAAGAAGCCAGAAGCCTTCCCCTGCGGCCATCAGGCACATTTAAGAGCAAATTTCCAGCGACGTTGTACCAAAAGCGTGTGGCTCATGCATGGGAGACAGATGGGAATCCACATTCTGAATTACCTCGACGATTGGCTGGTCTTAGCCAGGTCGCTGCTGCTCAGCCACCTGGAGCGGCTTGGGTTGAGAATCAATTTAGCCAAGAGCTCTTTATCTCCCAGCCAGTGAGTGGTCTTTCTGGGTACAGTTATCTATTCTGCCCAGATGCGGGCATAGATTATAGAACACTCGCATAGAACACTCCCTGACTATTCAGCGGCTTGTGGCGAACTGGTGACTTCACGTCCCTTCAGGGTTTTCCAGAGGATGCTCAGCCTTCCTCTGTGAATCCTCTGGGCCTGCTTCACATGCAACTTCTTCAGTATTAGCTCAAAGCATATGTCCCATCCCATGCTTGGCGCCTGGGAAGATTTCATGTCAGGGTAACCCACCGCTGCATCAGAGCTGTGGCCCCTTGCAAAACTCCTCGCTTGTTTCAATCAGGCATCCCGCTGGGACTGACCTCCAGAAGGAAGGTGGTCACAACAGATGTCTCCAACTCAGGTTGGGGAGCTCTGTACGAAGGCAGACCGGTGTTCGGCTCCTGGTCAAACCTGGAGCAACGCTTACACATCAACTGCATCAAGATTATGGAGGCTTTTCTAGCCCTAAAAATCATCAATCACCAAGGCGGTCTCCCTTTAGGTTGGCTCCAAGCCTCCTTTTATGGGCACAAGGCAAACTCGTCTTGCTGAGAGAAGTTCATGTGCAGGGCAGACTGAATCAAGGGGCAGACATGCTGTCCAGGGACAATGTGGCTCCAGGAGAATGGAGACTACATCCTCAAATGGTTCAAATGCTCTGGTCTGTCTTCGGCAGTTTATTTTTCAAGCATGATGCCCTGGCCCATGATTGACTCAGTGCTCGCCTGTATGCCTTCCCCCAGTTGCCCTACTTGCTCGGTCATCAGACGGGTCAGGAAAGTCAGATGCTCAGTCCTCTTGGTGACCCCACACTAGAGGAATCAGATGTGGTTCCCCAAACGGCTCCTCCTCTTTTGGCAGATTGAAGCGCCAATGGTTCATGCAGTTACACAAATGTGAACAAATTTACTACTTGGGTGAAAGTGCACCCTGATATGGATAAATGATAATACAACAAAAAAATTGGACATGCAACAATCACATTTTCAGAAAGCACACACTTTATGCTCAAAAAGAGGCTTAAATGCTAAATAATAAGGCTAATTAAAGATCCATTTCCAAAAGCACAAACATATAATTACAGTTGAAAAGTTCAGAAAGTTTGTATTATATATACAGTATGTAACTGTACAGTTTGTGAAAAGGAAAATATTAGATACACTTAGAATATGGTTAAAATATTTACAGTGGGGAAAATATTTATTTTATTTGATCCCCAAGCTTGGTGGTCATTATTCTTCACCCGCTTTAATTTCTCTGTCACGTACCGCCCTGGCAACATGACATTGACCAAGGCAACCAAACCAGTGTTTCCATCTTACCACCTACTGTAGTCATCGCTCAGATCAGTTGGGACATTATGGAGGAAATACAATGGGCACAACAGGATGAACCACCCCCACCAGAAAAAAAAATTGGACATGCAACAATCACGTTTTCAGAAAGCACACACTTTATGCTCAAAAAGAGGCTTAAATGCTAAATAATAAGGCTAATTAAAGATCCATTTCCAAAAGCACAAACATATAATTACAGTTGAAAAGTTCAGAAAGTTTGTATTATATATACAGTATGTAACTGTACAGTTTGTGAAAAGGAAAATATTAGATACACTTAGAATATGGTTAAAATATTTACAGTGGGGAAAATATTTATTTTATTTGATCCCCAAGCTTGGTGGTCATTATTCTTCACCCGCTTTAATTTCTCTGTCACGTACCGCCCTGGCAACATGACATTGACCAAGGCAACCAAACCAGTGTTTCCATCTTACCACCTACTGTAGTCATCGCTCAGATCAGTTGGGACATTATGGAGGAAATACAATGGGCACAACAGGATGAACCACCCCCACCAGAATGCCCACCTAACAGACAATATGTCCCTCAAGCCCTCCGTAATCGGACTATCCAGTGGGTACACACTTCACTAAGTTGGGGACATCCTGGTATCTATCGAACTTCTACTTTAGTACGGAATGCATTCTGGTGGCCTCACATGAACAGAGACATTACTAACTTTGTCAAGTCTTGCACCATTTGCGCTCGATCCAAAAACCCTAACTCCAATGGTTATACAACCATCCTAGTAATTGTTGATCGCTTTTCCAAGGCCTGCAGACTGGTACTACTAAAGGGTTTACCCACTGCCATGGAGACTGCCCTTGAACTTTTTCAGCATGTATTCCGAATCTACGGAATCCAGAAGATATTGTGTCAGACCGAGGTCCCCAATTTACGTTTAAAGTGTGGCAGGCTTTCTGTAAGCAACTGGACATTAATGTCAGTCTGACCTCTGGGTATCATCCAGAGTCTAATGGTCAAGTGGAGAGATTGAATCAAGAAATTGGACGTTACCTCCGGTCTTATTGTAGTCGAGAGCAGGATAAATGGAGCAACTTCCTGCCATGGGCCGAATATACTCAGAACTCCATCACCCACTCATCCACTGGTCTAACCCCTTTTCAGTGTGTTCTAGGCTACCAGCCCCCTATGTTTCTTTGGTCAGGAGAACCGTCCATGGTGCCGTCAAGAAAAAGAAATATAACGTTTCTTTTCACTTCAGATATTCTTATAATTAATCCCAATCTTCCTTTCTTTCAAAGTTGCACAGGTGCTGCAGTTAACCAATAAACTTCAATAAATGTTGATGACATCCTAAAAATGTCAGTTGTTTATCAGGACAAAAACACTTTTAACAATTGCTTCCTTTCTGAGCAACTTCCTCTGTAAGACGCCTCAGTTCTGCAGAATTAAGAAGTGGAAATGAGATAGAAAAAGAGTTGAAACAACTGTGCAGTGAAATCCAGTGGCTTTGTATGCACTTTAAAAATACCCTAACTTCATCTTTTAAGTGTCATATAAACACTAGAGTGTGACTGAAATCACACCAGGTGTGACCCTAACAGACCTGATAATGCAACTGGAGCATGTAAACTGGAGCATCCAGACTGCATTTGTCCTTTGCATCGTGCATCAGAAAGACTGAGGTACAACATGTGTTTAATCCTACAAATACTGGATTATACATTTGGACTCTGCATGTAAACATACTGCACATGTTTGCAGTCTAATGGACAGAGCCCCAGCTGAAGGTCCCGATGGAGATGAGTGTCTGACAGGCTCCAGACGATAGCCACACTTTCTCCATCAGACTGAAGTGAAGGAAGCTCAAAGTGAAGCACACCATGTCTGTCAGGTGGTGTTGGCCCAGCAGAACGCGCGACAGGCCCACTAGGATGGCCCACAGCACCAGCAGGACTCGCAGCAGGACAGCCAGCACCAAATGGGACAGGAGGAACTTGGACACCATGGCTGCTCTGCTGGCGTGAGCGGCCGGGAACGAATACGTGTCCAGAGCCACACAGTCAAGGAAGCCAGGAGTTATGTCCCATGGTCCTTTGCGCCGGACCAGTTTCTGAACCCCGGCAACAGTCAGGATGTCAAGAATCAGCGCTGAAAGAAAGGAAAGAGAAATGATAGAGAGGAGTCAAGTGTGTCTTCACCAGGACATCTGAGTCCAAAAAAAGAGAACAGTTCTTCATTTTAAATCAAACTACATATCGACTCAAACACTTTATGTAGTTACAACTTAACTAAATAGCATAAAGACACTTAAAGTCCGAGTAAAGCAATATTAAATGTGTGTTCTGAGTTTGTCACATCACAGAAAAATGTGTTATTAACTACCCAGCCAAAGTTGAATGATAAAGAACGGCAAGTAAATAAAATACTGCTGGTGGCGCTGAAACCACGCCCACTCGCGGGAAAGCTGCTATCTCTCTCAAACTGTCAAATGCAAATAAATTTAAATAAGGAGACTGAGCGGTTTTGTAAATTATCGCAATCAAGTGTTATGCATTTATGTGACGAAGGCATAGCTAGCTAGAAAACTTTAGGCTGTAGTAACTAACGGTAATGACAGTAATTCACAATTGAGCGGGTGATAGCGGGTGAAAATTGTGTCACTACATCAAATCTCAGTAAAAAATATTTCCCCTTCTAGGGAACTCAACTCAAGCTAGGGGGCACATTGGGGAATGCAGCCTGCATGACCAGTGTCTGAAGCACGTGTGAAACAACTCCAATCTATTGGCCCACCTGGCCCATGACGTCATAGAATTATATATTATATGACGTATTCAGCACCTGCTGAATACGCCATCCACTCTTTGGATGACGTCTTCAGGAGTCGTCTGTTTGAGACCAGGGCAGGTGAGCAGTGTGAAAGTGTGTGTGCCTCCGTTCCAGAGGTTTCTGGCACTTGAGGACACGCATGATCTATCTGTCATCTGTTTTGGTCAGGAGCTTGCACATTCAGAGTTCGAGGGCTCTGAACGTGTTCATTGTGAGTGTTATCCAATGAGAAGCTCCATTCGCGTTTGTCCCTCTTCTCGAGAGATGAGTGACAAGGGTTTGTGTCTCGCGGCCCGGTTCCGCCGTTGCCGCAGCACAGTTTATCTCACCTCACGTTCATCGCTTTCATCTGCGGCATCTGCACACCCTCTCTATACGGGTTGTCAGATGCCACAGATATTGTTGGGTTGTTATGACGATGAAGTGTGAGCACGGAGTTGTTTCAGCCCTGATCCTGCGGGATCGTGGGCGGAGCTATATTCAGCTCGGCCGTGCCTCTCTAATATGCATGTTATTGTGTGTGGAGAGCCTCGCTGGGCGTGAATATATTTAAATATTCTGTGGAGAGAGGCTTTCTCTCCCAGGATTTTCAGCACCTAGAGTGGTTATGGGGAATATCTTTTTGCTCTGGAATATGGCGGTCTGAGGGCTGCTATACTCTAGCCTAGATTCTAATAACTAGGTTGGGTTCCCCTTGGCACAAGTTTTCGAGTAAGTGCTGAAGCCTTTGTTTAGGAATCTGCTATTCGAGGATAGCTGTGTTCCAGCGCGGAGACAGCTTCCCTTTTAGGGTTTTTAGATTGTGGTCTCTGTGAGCCCCTTGCCTGGACTGTGCTGTCTCCCCTTCAGGGTTTTAAATAGATGGCCCACTTCCGTGGCCTGGGCAATCTTCAGCCTTATCTGGGAGAACTGCTATTCGAGGATAGCTGTGTCCAGCCCTCTAGTGCTACGGCTACTGCTTAATGCTTAGGGGCTTGATCTCGGACTATGATGTTTGTGTTCGCTCTTCAGCGAATCATTTACTGATGGTCTGGATCTCCCTCTTGTGAGATCTTAATCAATAGCACGGTGCTTTGCTAGCCTACTGTGAGACTGACACGGATTGTGGACCTCCTTAATATAGCCTTCTGAGGGTGGTTACATTCCAGCCATTGTTTTTGGCAGCTCGGGCTTACTTGAATACAGCTATCTGTGGCTAGCTGTGTTCTACTGCAATTGTGGTGAGCCCTCTCATGGAATGGGGCCCTTTCCTAGAGCCTAGCTATCTGAGGATAGCTATGTACTAGCTCAGTGATCGCTCCCCTGCTTAGGCTTTTAAGTAGGGGTCTCTTGAGCCCTTACCTAGACAGTGCTGTCTCCCCTTTTTGGGTCGTAAGTAGACAGCCCACTCTTTGTGGTCTGGGTAGTTTCAGTCGGTCCCCATTCTGGTAGCCCTTCCCACGTACATAGCTATCTGAGTATATCTGTGTGCTAGCTCAGTGACTGCTCCCCTTCCTAGGGTTTTTAAGTAGCGGTCTCTTTGAGCCCTTGCCTAGACAGTGCTATCTCCCCTGCTAGGGTAGTAAGTAGATAGCCCACTCTCTGTGGTCTGGGCAACTCTGCAGGAAAGCTATCTAGGCTAGCTGTGTATTGTTTACTAGGGACTGACAAGGTTTGGGGTCCTCCTTAGTTCAGCTACCTGAGGGTGGTTACATTCCGGTCACTGTGGTGGCAGGATGGGCAGACCTGAATACAGCTACCTGTGGCTAGCTGTTTTCTACTGCAATTGCGGTGAGCCTTTCATGGAGTGGTCCCTTTTCCTAGAGCTTAGCTATCTGAGGATAGCTATGTGCTAGCTCAGTGATCGCTCCCCTGCTTAGGGTTTTTATGTAGCGGTCTTTTGAGCCCTTACCTAGACAGTGCTGTTTCCCTCTTTGGGTCGTAAGTAGACAGCCCACTCTTTGTGGTCTGGGTAGTTTTAGTCGGTCCCCTTTTTTGGTAGCCCTTCCTAGGTACATAGCTATCTGAGGATATCTGTGTGCTAGCTCAGTGACTGCTCCCCTTTTTTAGGGTCTTTTAAGTAACGGTCTCTCTGAGCCCTTGCCTAGACAGTGATATCGCCCTCTGGTCCACAAGCCTTCATAAGACCTTAGGGACATAGCTATCTGAGGATAGCTGTGTCCTAGTTCAGCAGCTACTCTCTTTACCTGGGATTTAAGTAGCATCTCTTGAGCTCCTCTAGAGGCTTTCTAGGTGGCCTCTTCAGTGCCCTTGTGTGTCCAGGCTAGTTCTGCTCACATAGCATAGCTATCTGAGGATAGCTGTGCTCTTAACTTGGATGGGATGTTCCCCTTGATTTATTCGGGTTCCCCCGTTTCTGCCAAGTTGCGTGAGCAGCCCGTGGCGTCAGTCGAATGGCCCCTTTCTGAGGAAAGGTTTTGTTTATGTCTGTTGCTTCCTTGGTGCTCTCCCACCAGGTGGACAGGCATGCGCCTCGGCATGGCATGGTTGGATTTCGTTCCCCAATGCCCTAGGGGGCACAGCATTGAGTTCCCTAGAAGGGGAACGTCTCGGGTTACACATGTAACCATGGTTCCCCGAGAGGGAACGAGACGCTGTGCCCCCTTGCCATGCCTTCAGCCTCCTCGGACAGCTAAAGTGGATGACGTATTCAGCAGGCACGGCATGGTTGGATTTCGTTCCCCAATGCCCTAGGGGGCACAGCATTGAGTTCCCTAGAAGGGGAACGTCTCGGGTTACACATGTAACCATGGTTCCCCGAGAGGGAACGAGACGCTGTGCCCCCTTGCCATGCCTTCAGCCTCCTCGGACAGCTAAAGTGGATGACGTATTCAGCAAGTGCCCTTTTATACTTTCGGGCATCCCCCTATGACGTCATGGGCCAGGCCGTTGTTTCACACGTGCTTCAGACACTGTTCATGCAGGCTGCATTCCCCAATGTGTCCCCTAGGGGGCGCAGCATTGAGTTCCCTAGAAGGGGAAATATTTTTTGCTGAGATTTGATGTAGTGGCACAATTTTCCCTACACCCGCTATCACCCGCTCAATTGCGAATTACTGTCATTACCGTTAGTTACTACAGCCTACAGTTTTGGGCAGCTCTGTAGGAAGTTTCCTCTTTTTGTGAAATTTAGATGGAAAATTTGTGCCTTTTTATTGTTTGAGTCACTTATCAAAAGTTGCTAAAAGTAGCTATATTAAATTTAAAATAGCCAAACTTATTGCTAGGTGCTTTTGGAAGAAAAAGTTGCTAGGGTAGTCTGAAAAGTTGCTAAATTTAGCAACAAAATTGCTAAGGTGGCAACACTGAGCGCTGCTTCAAGTCGAACACACCTCTTATTATAGTGTTAGGGGAGGGGCCATGCTCGGTGGCTCCATTGCCACACACATATATATATATATATACTGTATATATATTAAAACCTATTCAAAATATTAATAAAAACTATAAAACCACCCTGACTCATATTTGCTGAAATACAATAATTGTTTCTTGCTACTTTTGAGATGCTAATTCCAAAAATTGTTTCGGTTTCTCACAAAATCTGATGCATTTTGTAGCACTTTTGCTTTCAAGAATTATTTGTGTGGTGAAGAATTCTTGTATTTTTCCTTAATCAGCAGAAAAACACACAAACACACAATTCTTGTCTGAATCTGAGCAGATTACAACTACTTGATCAATTCTCAGTCCATTTTCACATGTATGACATTATTTGAAGCCTGATCCTTATTTCGGCCCCGATCAGACAGAACCACCGATCTATATAATGTTCTCTATTATAGATCAGTGGACAGAATGCGTTTTTTGCAGTGAGAGGAGACTTTTTAAAAATTGTTTTCTATTGGCAGTGAGCACTGGAGCACTTTGTAGGAGCACTCTGAGCACTGCTCTTTTCGAAATGAAAAAAGTCAACCAAAAAAAGACCTCGCATTTTCAAACATGAGCCAGGAGTTTTATGCTTAAACAGTAACAGAAAATTACATATTTTGAGGAAAAAGATTATCTTGCTAAGTTTGTAAAGATTTTTTTTTTCTTTAAATTGAGTATTTGAACATTTTTCATCTGCTTTGCAGATGTAAAGTTAAATGATACATTTTGAAAAGTTTTTTTTTTTAAACATTTGACTGCTTTTGTTATTTTGATAAATGCATTAAAGCTGATACATTCATATAATTTGAAAAATCTTCATTTTTATTTCGCGAAAAACACATTCATGATAGAAAGTTTTTATTATTATTTTTGCATTCAGCATCATCAAATAAGGCGATATTAGGCTGTGTAATAGTATCTAAGTGCTAAAACAAGACTGGCGAAGTGTCTCACCAATCAGCAGGTTGATCAGGACCTCTTGTCCAGCCAGTGTGCTACTCTGAGTGAGACACACCAGAGTGCCACAGATCCATGTGAAGCCGTGACCCGTCAGAGCCAGCAGCGTGACCGCTGAGCACATGCTCCCCCATGAGGACGTGGTGTGGATGCAAACACCCAGGCGCTTGGACAGGCAGATGTCGATGGCCAGCAGTGAGTTGATGGCGATGCCTCTGAAGGACGGGTTGAGCAGCATGCAGTCTTCATCCGGCAGCTTCGTTGTCTCCTTCACATTCTTCACACGGGATCTCGTTCTACTGATTCTGATGGGTCTTGGACTGGCCAGATCTTCTCCACGCTCTGTTGTTTCGCAGTGGGACATTCAGGGACAGAAACTCGGGCCGGCCCAGAACACTGCTGCTGCCACCGCTGCACTCCTTCGCTCTGGAGCGACTAGGGTTCAAAGGCATCATGCTGTTTAATCGTACAGCAGGATGAGAAACTTATGTGAGCTTCAGATGTAGACTCAAAGTAGGCTGTGAAAACAGTGTCAGATATATTTAGACATGCACGAGTGTGTATGTGTGTGTGGATAGAGAATAAGTGCAAACTAACACAACACATTTAGCATCATAATGCTGTATCATTTTCGTTTTAGAAATGGGTAGTTGTTAACAAATAGACATGAACTTTTTTGCAAGATTTTAGATGACATTTTTTTTTTCACAGTTTTGATCACCCTTTTGTCCACTGATTTAATTAACTGGCCTTGCATTGTGAAAAGTTTTTTTTTTTTTGAAAGTACAAAAATCTTGGCCCATATTTGGCGTCCTTTTCTTCTTTTCCTGCTGACTATGCCGAGCATTAAAGTTGTTTCCAAGGAATTGATGTCCAAAGTTTGAGTGCCACAGCTTAGTAATTTTACCCACCAAATAATATCTCTGTTTTAACATGCTCTAAGATTGTCTTGTTTGTAACTTTTGATGTCCAAGGCACTCATAGAATACACCTCCAGCACCACAGTTCGAAGACATCGACTTTCCATTCTTGAGTGTCCAGCTTTCACTTGTGTACATGGAGATTGGGAAAATAATTGCATTGTTTTATATACTGTATATATATATATATATATACTTTCTAGACAACAGAAAATAAATATTTGCTTAATTATCAGTAATCAGTAAGCTCTATTTTTTTTATTCATTTATTATGCCTCAGAGTCATGTCTGAAATCAGTTTTGTGCAGCACCTTATGGAAACACTGTCTGTGAAGTCACTGCCTGATAGGCAACAAAAGTAACAAAGCAGTTGATTAAGCTTTGGTTGCAGCCAGTCCTTGTTTGGTTCCTGAATTAATCAGTGTTTTTGAATAAAACAGTTGAGTGAATAATTCAAAATACTCACTAATAAAAACAGTCACTTGTTGCCACCTACTGGTGTAAGAATGTAATTTGTGAAGAAATATTGTGAGTCACGCCCATAATTTGATAACTGGTGACAAAATAGTACTAGACTTATTTGCGTAATTCATGTCAGTTTTCACATTATACTAAAAATTGATGCACACATATGTATCGTTAAAGGGTTCGTTCACCCAAAAATGAAAATTAGCCCATAAATTACTCACCCTCAAGTCATCCTAGGTGTATATGACTTTCTTCTTTCAGACGAATCAAGTCGGAGTTATATTAAAAATTGTCTTTGATCTTTCAAGCTGTTTAATGCCACTCAGCTGGTGTTGCATGCATCAGTCCAAAAGAAGTTAAATAAAAAGCGCCCATCCATAAAAAAACCCCATCTCACATGGCTCCAGGGGGGGAACAAAGGCCTCCTGTAGAGAATCGATGCATTTTTGTAAGAAAAATATCCATATTCAAAACTTAATAATCACTTTAATCTAGCTTGCTCCAACAGTTGTAAACGGAAGCAGCTCCGGGCTGATGACGTATGAGGTCAGCTTTGCGCATGCTCAGAAGTGACGCATGCGGAAGCGCAGCAGAGAGATCGAAACAAAACAGTGGTCACTTATTAGAAGTACAAAACAAGGATTTGTAAAGAAGAATGTCGGAGGATTTCGATATAAACCAAGAGGAGACTGGTTTTCCTTTGCTAAAGTAAGGAAACTTTGCTTCCTTTGCTCCTGTAAACAAACGTTGGTTTTCACGAGACTCACTGGCGCATGCGCAACACTGAACTCATATGTCATCTGCCCAGAGCTGCTTCCGTGTACAACTGTTGGCGCAAGCTACATTAAAGTGATTATTACGTTTTGAATATGGATATTTTTCTTTCAAAAATGCATCGATTCTCTACAGGAGGCATTTGTTCACCCCCCGGAGCCATGTGAGACACTTTTTTAAATGGACAAGCGCTTTTTATTTAACTTCTTTTGGACTGATGCATGCAACACCCATTGAGTGGCATTAAACAGCTTGAAAGATAAAAGACCATTTTTAATATAACTCCAACTGGATTCGTTTGAAAGAAGAAAGTGAGTAATTTATTAGAGAACATACAATTTCCTAAATTTCAAGGTCACTGCTTAGTCCTCTTTGAAATGATCCTAACAGGAATAGAAGGGCAGTTTTTTAAGCATATTTCATAAATTAATTGTATTCTGAAACACAGTACAAAACACTTAAATTAGATATTTGAAAAAGAACTCTGATCAAAAACATTGCAAGATGACTCTAAGGTGACTGAAAGCCTGCGACAAGAGGTTGTTCAGATGAAGGCCAAAGGGACGACGCTTTCAGCCACTGCAAGAGAAGTTGGTCGTTCCAAATCTGTGATTTCTAGAATATTGCAGTTTTACAATACACAAATTCATTCAAGTCCCCCCAAAAGGCTGGTTGTCCATGTAAGACAACTGCACGAGAATACAGGAAAATGCAAAGACTCTCAATGGGGAATCGGTTCAACACTGCAGCTGGAATTGCTCACCAGTTCAATGCTGAACAGGGTATGGATCTGTCTCAGCACAATTAAGAGAAGTCAGATTGAAAGCGCACTCTGCAGTGACCAAGCCTCTCATCAGCAGAAAGAATCAAAAGTCTAAGCTCACCTTTGTTGAGGAGCATGTTGTGTGGAGAGAGGAGAACTGGTCCAAAGATCACTTTAGTAAGTAAGTTTAGTAAGTTTCATTTATTTGGGTCAGATGGGAAACATTATGTTCGGTGTCAAACTGGGGAAAAGACTGAACCCCGAGTATGTAAACAAGTCAGTGAAAGCTGGAGGAGGAAGTGTCATGGTTTGGGGATGTTTTTTGCAGCAGGAGTTGGGCCTCCTTATACAGCTACATTGCAGGGTGAATGCAAATGCTTATCAGAACCTCCTTCAGCAACATGCATCCTCCTTCCCTGCAAGCATCTCTGAATCAACCTGCCATTTTCATGCAAGACAATGCTCCCTGTCACACTGCAAAACAGGTAAAGCAGTTCTTTGAAGCTAAGAACATTGAAATAAGATCAGAGTCCTGATCTAAACATGATTGAAAATCTCTGGAAAATACTTGGCAGCAAAGTTATGGATATTCCTACTAATTTCTGACAGCTGTAACCCTCCAAAATTTTTGTTGTAATCTTCTTTCGTGCTATAGTGGTTACTCTTCTCTAATTTTGATCACTGTTTTACACAAAATAAACGTTTTTTGTTTAAATGCCTTCGTCATTTTGTCAAATATGTTAGTAGAACAGTATTCCCCACAGCTATTCCTTCAAATTTTGAGCGATGAAGATTAATCAAGTATTTATAGATTGTTCTATAATTTTGATCTCCATTGTATATAAGCTTCCATTTCACAGACTTCTATTGTTTTTATTTACGGCTAGTTACAAATTTTACAACCTAACCCACACACTTATCCCTAACCGAACCTTGCTGTATTTTTACCATTTAAAAAATACTTAATTTACTTGATTTTTAAATATGGGGACACCCCAGAAAGATGGGTTTGACAGGTTTAGCTTTATTCCTAAACCACATGTGAAGCATCAGCTGGCCTAAGTTACCTCAGAGCAGTCCAGGGAATCAGCGCAGAAGGCCAGCTCTTTTGATCCTGCTCACAGTCGCTGCGATCAGGTTCAGTTCAGACATCAATTCACACGCTCAGAAATACTGTAATACAGCTTGGCTATGGAAAACATCTTCACTGTATTAGTAAACTAAACAAGGCTTCAGCATCCATCACGGTCCGCTCCATAACAGAATTACGAATACTACTATGCTAAAGATATACACTGCTTTTTAAATATTAATTACGTACAAAGACGTACACCCTACTGATTGGCTGCAAAGCAGAGAGCTGACCAATGAAGATTTGGCTCATGAATATTAGTATAATCACGTGACTGGACGCTTGTAACCTCACATGGCTTTAAATATGAATGAGCTCTGTTTTCACCAGGAGCTTCGGCGTTCTCCAAGGTGCTTAAACGCGGGCGCACTTTTATCATCCATATTGCCATATGAAGCTTCTTAGACTTTTGATGCTGCCTGTAATGCCTTCAAAATATATAAATATACCACATCATTTTCGCCCAACAAACTGCACGAGCACCTCTCTCAGCGCGCCCTCTCAGGGAGCGGAAGTGACGCCACGGGCGCTCGGAGTGCAGCAGCTGCAACTGATGCGGTGACGCTCACAGCGCTGCGGGACGGAGGCTGAGCGCAGCGCAGCACCGGCGCGAGGATGAGGATGGATTATAACTGATGAAGAGAGACGCAAAATGATGGGCTGTTCATCACAGCATGTGTGTTCGTGACAGCGGGACTGATTTATTCACCTCTTATGTTTGTTCATGTGGGCTGATGAAGTTCACCTGATGCTGAGACGGATGGTTTACGCATAAGTGCATAAGAAAGTGAGCTTCCTCCAACTGAACCTCAAGGACAAACTCACGGAATGTAAATATTCATTGCAAAAAATAAAAAATAATTGCGTTACTTTTGATACCCAAACCGTCTAAAACCCCCAAAACGACCCAAAAACCGTTTTGCGCGCTTTGTAGTTGAACATCGCACCAAATGCCAGCAGTATTCTGAGGGGATGGATGTAACCTATTTATTTTCATCTACAAGCACGCGAACCTACAAACGAAGTAGACAAGTGAACGGTCAAAACATCTGAAAAGCATGTAAGACCACTGCTGTGAGGTTACGACGCGGAAATGCCGGTTTGATGATGATTGGAGAACTATGTGTCAGCGGAGCGTTATAACGGTCCGCCAATGACGGAAAGTTGACGAACATTGTTTTTAGTTCATTTAATTTTGTTTTCTTGTATTATTCGACGAAATAACGTGATGTTTTTGTTAATAAGAAACGCTGTTTTAAGTCCTGACGCGACACCGCGACGCGTCGTTTAGTGTTTGCGCGCACAGCGTTCTTCTGAGGGTCAGTGTGTGTCCTTCTGTGGGTTCATGTTCTGCTGGCCGCTCGTGCTGCTGGTGATGGGCTGTATTCAGAGCATCAGATGCAAACCCAAGAGTTTCCGGGACAGCATCATGGTTCTGGAGGTGAACTCCTCCATCGACTCGAACCCCACCAGCATCGACGAGTCCTCCAGCGTGGTGCTGCGCTACCGCACGCCGCATTTCCGCGCGTCCGCCCGGGTCCTGGTGCCGCCGGTGGCCGATAAAGAGAGCTGGACGGTCGGCTGGATTCAGGCGTGCAACCACATGGAGTTTTACAACAACTACGGATCCAAAGGGATGTAAGTATATCTGACACTGAACACAAACTCAACACCTTCTGCCTGCTACAGCTCAACACTATAATGCATGACATGAATTTATGTTATGTATCATTTGCTTGATTATAACAATTTACAACACTGTAGAAACTACAACTGTAGCAACTTTTAACTAAAGCTTTGTCTGACATGGTAAAAATATTTTTGTTTGAGAAATGACTGAAAAGACATGGTAACACATTGTTTTAGTGTTCTAATTATACGTGTTACACGCACTTACTGTAGCCTACGAGAGTAAATAATGCATAATGACATGCAACTAGCCCTAAACCAACCCCTAAACGTAAAGTAAGAACATTAATTGCACTTCAGCACTTAATTGTATAATTTCACTGTAACAAGGACAGTGTAACCAGAAACAACTTTCACATCAAATACACACAGTTTATTAGCAGTAATTACACAGTCATGTTGGACAGTCAGAAGTCAGCAGTCTTCAGATGTTCGGCGATGATAGTGTATTTGTTATACATTTCTGTTATTTCTACAGTTATTTACTGTATATCACCCAGTATAATACTGCAAATCAATTCACTGTACAGTAAATAACTGTAATTTCCTTTGCACCATGGGAATTTCCTGTGGAGTCAAACACCACATACAGAGACTTACTGTATTTTTTTTATTTGCTGTACACTACTGTATTTATTGGTCTCTTCAGGCTATTCCATTGAGTCCATTGAGTTCCATTGAGTTAAATCGCTTGCAATGATTAAATAATAATGACTGGCAAATCCGTTTGTCCTTCAGGAACAGCGCGAGCGCCTGGAGTACTAGAAATATCCCGGGGCATCAATTTACTGTCCGGCATCCATTGTAGATCTGATCACTAATTAAAATGGGTTCTGTATTGTCTTTTGTCGCGTCGCGCCGCGCCGCTCGCGTCCAGAAGGTAGACACGGAACCAGCACGGCAGCGCCACGGGTTTTGCTCGGGGGTTGAACCCGTGAGCGGAAGGGATCCGGAGAACATCTGCGCTGTGAGTCGATGCACCTTACGAGAGAATAAGAAAAACCAGCAAGCAAGGTAAAAACATATGTATGTATGTCTGTGTTTTTGTCAGTTTTTTGCACAGCAGTTTATCGTAAACATGGCGGTAACATAAACTTCACCACTGTCTTTTACCGAATTAAAATTACTTTAACGAGGAACACTTATCTTATATTAAAGGTCCCATATTGTCAAAACTGAAATTTCCTGGCTTTTTTCATGATAACTGATGTCTAGGGGATATGTAACTACCATATAAGTTTCAAAACAGTCAGTCCACAGTAAAATGCACACAACCTGCATAAAGTAGCTGTGATTTTTCACAAACAGTTGTGACTTCTGTAAAAAGTTGACGTCAGAACAACACAGTCACCGCCTTCAGTCACCTCCCCGAGCACCGCCCACCGTCCCACTCTGCTTTTGCCAAACCCCCAGACAACATCACATCCATGCCATTGCTGAGCAACAACAACACGGAAACATGTCGAAAAGGTTAACTTTAACCATGAAACCAGATCGGCCGACCTGTAACGTTACACTCTCACTCGAAGGATGGAGGATCTGACAGGATTGTTACTATGAGGTGGAGCACATCTAACGTGTATAGTAAAGACAAACTCATGTCTATCTAGTCATGATGAAGATGTATATACATTTCAATTTCAGCAGGCAACTATTTTTACAGCTACAATATTGTTCCAGTCACAATTAATCACAACAATGTATATACAATTACAAATGATTATATATAAATCGTCAGTTTGTTGTTTTATACACATGCACACAGACATTATTTCATACACGACAGTCGTGAGATGCAAGAAACAGATATACCTACGTTTTGGAGCAGCATCTGGGATTTGAAGATGCCTTATATCTATTCTTTGGCTGCTTATATTTTTTCCCCATTATTTTCCTGTTGCCTCAAGATTCTCTGTGAGGATAAATCCAGAGGATACAACATAATGCACTGCAAAAAAACACAAGACAGGAGAAATGGTGAAGATGCAGTGATCCAGCATTGGAAGACTGTGTATTTTTAAGTGTTATATGCAATGTTTTAAATAAAGAATTTGATATTTTGTAATAATTGTGTCTGTTTGAATTGAATGTCAGTAGTACCTATGTAGGAAAAAAAAAGAATTCTATATAAAAATGATAAAAATCTAATGAAATCTATATTCAATTGAATGAATACTGATGACTTGGATTTTTTTTTACAGTAATTGCACTGTATTACACGATCACAGTACCACATAGTTACTGTAAAACTGAAATACAGCTGTAAACAGTAGGGCTGTGCATCTCATGACTCAGGCCAATACGATACGCATCTCGATGCATAGCCAACGATACGATACATTAAAGATACATATGAAGCAGCTACCGATGCGATACGATTCACCCTTGTTTCGATGCAGTGCGATCCGATTCGATTCGATTCAACACAATGCGATTCGATGCAATGGAGAAAATATACATTTTCATGCCTTAAAGTCCCCCTGTAGTCAAATATTTTATCCCTTAAAACTTATCTTTGATCATTAAAATTACATATTTAAATGTTTTTTCTTGTGAAAATAATTTTCTCATTCCTTAAAATAGCTTGAATGCAACTCTACACCCTTGCCTCATTTACTATACACTGATCTATGAATATGCAAATTAGTCCCGCCTCCACTCAGTCACACCAGCCAGCGCCTCCTGATCCACTGAACTGTAGTAAACGCAAAACAATGGCATACACGGGTAATGACCGATAAAACGATATTTTTACTAGCGGACAACTACAGTGAATACTGTAACATTCGTTAAAGTTACTTACTTGACGATGTGGTGTCCTAAAATGCCTTGAAGACTCGCAGTTACTGCTATCATAAAAATACACTTTATATGTAGATTTAAAATTCTACAAAAGACACATTTAATGTCCAAAAACTTTACTCAGAATTATTGCACTCCTATTTGATTGCGCTCTGTCTGTTTAGCGCGCAGATGCGCTCGTTCACTCGCCCACGCCTGACAGCAAAATGGATATGTTTGCATGACTTTCTAACATTTACAGATGAAAAATATACTTGTGACATGTCAGTTATTCACTGAGGAAAACACAACGTCTCAAATGCATTAAACAGCACAGATATATTCGCTGTTTGTCATGGTGGATCAGTTTGATCCATGATCGAAATTAAGGTCTGCTTAACAATAATGCTACGTTCAAGTCCTCCTGGGACGTTCGTACTTACGACGTCAGGTGCGTTCAAGTCAGTTTAGTCTGCACAAGATGGCAGTGTACCTTCTTTTAATAAATTACAAGAAAATACAACGTATATTAAATGCAGTTAGCTGAACTTTAGTGTCTTTGACCCTCTTAAGTGTAGGACTTTAATACATCTTTATATGTAATTTCATAATTGTGTTTGAAATATTGTTAAAGTTACTGCTGAATGTACTGACAGGCATTTATGATAAACTAAAAATATATGTTAATGTCATTTCTATTGAAACTTGTGTGTCATGTATTTAAATCTATTTGTAATTACACATTCATAATGATGAAGATGTAGTTTAGTAACTTTGAAGGTTACACTTTTAAGGTGTCATTGTTACAGTGAAATTGTACAAATAAGTACTGAGCAATATTAATTACCAAAATGTACTTACTATATAATTAAGATTAGGGTTTGGTTTAGGGTTAGTTGTTTGTAATTATACGTAATTTACTGTTATTACTATAGTAAGTAAATGTAAGGTGTGGAACAAGGACACTAAAGTAAAGTGTTACCCATTTAACATGTATTAAATGTAATATTAAATAACACACTAGTTGAATAACACACAGTTAACTAAAACTAAACCATAAAAACTAATAAATGTTAATATGGCTTTACACAGACTTTAATTTGACATTATTATAATGTATACTTTTTAAAAGTGCACTTAACTGTGCTAAGAAACAGTCATGAAAGTGTCTCTTTAAGTACAACTAAGTGATCTTTTATTTCATTAATATTATACTAAATGCAAATACAGATTTCGAAAAATGTGCTGTTCAGATTTGAAGTACACTAAAAGTGCACATTCAATACAATGAAGTGCACTTCTTTTTCACAAGAGCAGAGATGTGCAGCGTGAGTCAGAGGATGATGATGGTGGTGGTCGCTGGAGCCGATAGAGATGTGTGTTTGTTCTTTATTAAAGGTCTCTTTTGATGGACAGTCAGACTCACATCACCATTCTATGTTTAACTTCCTCAAAAGCATCTCTCGCCTTTGGCAACTAGTGTTCTGCTTTCTCTAGAGTCAGCACACTTCATTCAGCCCAATTGTTGTCATGCTCTCATCCTCCGGTGTTTCCCACAGGTCCAGCTGGGAGCTGCCGGATCTCCAAGATGGAAAAATCCAAGCCATCAGCGACTCGGATGGCGTCAACTACCCCTGGTACGGCAACACCACCGAGACCTGCACCATCGTGGGTCCCACCAAGAAGGACACCAAGTTCACCGTCAGCATGAATGACAACTTCTACCCCAGCGTGACATGGGGCGTCCCGGTGAGCGACAGCAACGTGCCCATGCTCAGCAGCATCTGGAGGGACCAGAGCTTCACCACGTGGCTGGTGGCCATCAACCAGGCATCGGGCGAGATCCTGGAGCTGCAGACGGTGCGCTGGCACATGCGTCTGCACATCGAGGTGGATTCCGACAAGCCACTGGGACAGAGAGCCAGGCTGTGCGAACCCATCGCGCAGGAGCAGCCGCAGGTGCTGGGGAAGAACGATGCCATCCCGCCCAACGCCATGGTCAAACCCAACGCCAACGATGCTCAGGTACTGATGTGGCGGCCGCGGACAGGCGAGTCGTTGGTGGTCATCCCTCCCAAACACTGAGACCAAATCGGTTTGGAAATCACTGTGCTAAACGCCATTGCAAAAAGACAAAGTGGGAATATTGCATCTCAGATGGATGGAAAGAGTGTCCGATTCTCGCTGCCTTACGTTTACATTGCTTTCACTGCAAACTCTTCGCCTTAAACCGAGTGCAATGCAGTACACCTCGCACATCCTACCTGTCCCTATTTGCACTGGATGTGTCCCAGTTAGTCGTCGTCTAATGGGACTGCGATGACCGCCGCGCGCCCAACCAAACGAGGACACAGTCCTTATGCATTCAGTGTTTTCAGCACGAGCTTCAGTGTTTTAGTTTTCCGTCAACCAGCCACTTCTAGTGTGTTCTACAAGAGAGTCCGAGCCGAGAGTCCAAAAATATATATTTTCTACATGAGTTGCTGTGTCAGTCAGTGTCAAGACGTCATGGCCAATCGATAGAGTTCTTACGAGCTAACGTGCAATCGGTCCATTCTGCTGGTGTTTGAATGAGATGTGCATACGGCGACAGGAGCGCTGATGGCTGCATCTGCTCTCGTCATCCATCTGCTCCTCAACTCAAACACCATCAGCAGAAGCTGAAGAGAGAAACGTCACGTGTCGTTCTCTAATAAATGCACTGAAAAACCCTAGAATGAGTGAAACTCGTGTCCAGGCAACAATTCTGCACAAGAACTAGACATTGTTTTCATGGCAGTACTACAGATGTGACCATGATGTACGTCAAAAGTTTGAAAAAATTTCAGATTTTTTTTTAAGAAGTCTCTTCTGCTCACCAAGGCTGCATTTATTTGATCTAAAATGCAGTGAAAAGAGTGAAGGCATTTATAATGTTACAAAAGATTTCGGTTTTAAATAGCCTAAATGCTGTTCTTTTGAACTTTCTGTTCATCAAAAAACCCTGAAAAACAAAAACGTATCACAGTTTCCACAGCACACCTGTTTTCAACATTGATAATAATCATAAATGTTTCTTGAGCAGCAAATCAGCATATTATTATGATTTCTGAAAGATCATGTGACACTGAAGCCTGGAGTAGTGATCCTGCAAATTCAGCTTTGATCACAGCAATACATTTTAAATTGTAATAATGTTTCACTCTTTTACTGTTTTTTTTTGTTGTTGATCAAATAAATGCAGCCTTGGTGAGTGAAGAGATTTCTTTAAAAAAAAATTTAAATCTTACTGATTCCGAACTTTTGACCAGTAGTGTGTAAATACTTTAACATTTTTATAATATATTTTTTGCATTGCAGTGTTGAGAATTTGAGGTCAAATTTGCTTAAAATTCATGCAAATGACACTTAAGCACAATTTTTATCCATTTTGCAACTCGATAAGATTAAACGCACTTCAGCGCTTCCTGATGCCATTTGTTATTGATCCCATTGAAGGCCTTATTATGCTGAGATGTGATTGTGTTGATGGACAGATGAGCGTTGATTATGTGATTTAGTCCAGCTGGAGTCAAACGCTGACCAGCATTTATATGCACACATGGATCGAACGCCACAACAGACACTGAACTTTACATCCACCGGACGTCTCCTTATACAATCAATTAAAAGACCATCACTTGTGTTTTATTTCATCAGACGCTTTTGGATGTTTGAGTTCATCTCACATGACGTGGGTCTGCATGTGTGTGTGTGTTTGGATGCTTATACACAATGCAGTGTTGCCAATTTAGCTACTTTGTAGCTAGATTTAGCGACTTCCTTCTGAGACTTTTTTCAAAAGTTTAGGAACAAATATAGCAACTTCTTGGACAAACCTTATCTAAGTTCTCATCTTGCCCACTGATCTACATTCATCTTTATATAGATCAGTGACTTTGCCATTGTTATGTCATCTAGTGACATTTAGCTACCAGTTTTAGCTACTTTCAATTGAAAGCAGTTGGCAACACTGACACAATGACTGAAGAATTCGATTTCAGATTTCAGAGATTTGTACTTCCAACAGACTTTTATCCATCATCAGATCAAATACATTCACTATTAAACGCTCGTGTTCATGTCAAGACTCCTCATTCTCACACGATTCCTGCTGTTTGGCTTGAAATACTGACCAGATGAGACACAATATGACACCTGACAGACAGTAAATCCACAATAAATCCTCCAATCATTTAGTTTTGATATGAAATGGTAACATTGAGTTCCTCCAGCTCCATTAGCCGCACAACATGTTTATAGCCTACTGCAAGTGTGTGCGCGTGTGTGTGTGTGTGTGTGGCATCAGACTTATTTTTTTCCCTTTTCAGAAGGAATGATGGGATTTTTGGCCATTTTATAGCTTTGACAATAATACTTGAAAAACAGAAGTGTAGTGGGAAACATTTCAAACTGTGAAAATGCACATTTGTGAGAACAAAACATTCAAAGACAGCTGCATTTTTCATGAACAATAAAACTGTGAAATTCAGCAGAGACTCTTGTCTTTTATTCAGTGCGAGTGTGGCGTCTCTGCATTTTGTTTGTTTCTGCATCTTTTATGTGATTAAAGATCAAATATTAATATTCTGATGAAACCAACAAGAGGAGCTCCCTGTTGAAAAAAACAGCACATGCTGGTTAGGTATGTTTCGACGCTGGGATGCTGGTTTATGCTGGTCCTTTTGCTGGTTTATGCTGGTCCTTTTGCTGGTTTATGCTGGTCCTTTTGCTGGTTTATGCTGGTACTTTGCCAGCACATGACCAGCATAAAACAGCAAAGGACCAGCATGAACCAGCAAAGGACCAGTTTAAACCAGCATCCCAGCGTCAAAACA